TACTGTTTCTACTGAATCACTGAATCCTAAAAACTGGATTTCTATACACTGTAACTATGTAAATCAAGAAGAGTTAATCTATGACTTTGCAAACAATACAGTCCATCAATTATTTGTTTTAGGAATGCCTGCTCCTGCACAGTAATCAAAGGCATTTCTTGAAAAACAGGAGAAACATCCTTTCTCCAAAACTTTAATTAGTTAGATCTAAGGAAACCCTTCAATAAAACTTAAATGTCACTAGAATGTAAGCAGTACTAATTACATAACATTGCAGCATAATAAAGAGTCCCACAAGAAAGAGGCAACATGAGCCAAATCCACTTTGCTTCATGATAGTGACTAATACTGAAGGAGACAGCCCTTTATTTCATGCACCTTTTATTATGCAGTGTTACTCCCACATTTGCCAAGGCAGAAAGAGATTGGATTTTGGTTTCAATTTGTGCTAGAAATCTGAGAAGTTATTGTTCAGTGCAGAAACTTGCACAAACTAGCTCTACAACAGATTAGAAGGGCAGCTGTCATGGAAAATACACAGGAAGTTCCATATCTTAAAAACTATGCAAGATTAAGAGAAAGGTCTTCCCAAGAACTAGAACTTTGCTGACTTGTCATGTGAATTTCCAAAGAAACAAGAACCACAACAATTAAAAACAAGGGATGGAAGCATCATTCACAACTGTTACTGGCCAGAAATAACACCCAAACCAGTAACTATCTGCACTGGGTTTGGACGTACATTTGGAACCAATACATACCTCCAGATAGTTGGCTCAGGCATTCCAGGATCTGCACCTCTTTTAAAACCTGAAGTGAAACATACATTACATACATATATAAAAATAAACAAGTATGTAGAGATTCCCACACAGTTAAATCTCTGTGAAGTTATTCCAGCCCGTTAAATAGCAATAAAAATGAAAACTACTGAACATAGACTTGTGATTCATGAAGCTGTGCACTACCCTGAATAAAAACTGCACATTCTTACAAGGGTTAGAAAGCAAGAAAATAAATACCAATGTAAACTTTTCTTTTTTTAAAAAGTCTTACCTGCATCTTTACCTGACCTAAAATTCAGGATCAACTAACTGTGTGAGATGAAGAAAGACATCTATGCCAGAGATCAAGACATTCATACTTTTACACACACAAACCCACAGATGTTAAATGTTGTCCAGAAAGCAACCTAGCAGGGCTCTACCAACAAAGACACCTAAAACTGGTGTAGAATAAGCACCTTGAAGCTTAACAGGCAATTCTCCAATGACATCTGACACACATCTTAAAAGCAGTATTTCAGTAACAGTTCACTCAGTTCAGCATGACAGAATGCTGAATGTTAAATCAATTTAACCTCAAATCTTCTATTCTGATTGGCACTTTTTGGATAAAGTTACACACTACTAAAGGTTGCAAACCAACAAGCTGTTCTCTAATACCCAGGAAAATGAAATGAAAGTTAACTACAAAGAGTTCATCCCCAGCCCCCAATAACTCAAATACACCAACTGACTACAGTATATGTATACTAGGGAAGCAGGTGAAGGTTTGGAATATGAAGTATCTTTGTTCTCTGGACTGTGATATAAAAGTCTTGAAACAGAATCATGCAAAAAAAATCAGGCACTGTTCAATACTTCACTGGCTATCTAGAAATGAAGGTTTCATGAAAATTATATTATTTCCCTCGTTTACAGAAAATAAATCATTAATGTCATGTTGCCTGAAACACAGGCCACAAAGGTTAATGGAAAAATTTCCATTAACTTCACAGGCACTGGAAAAGCTCTTTGAAGATAACGTTGGATGATTTGAGACTATTAGACATCCTGACCCAAGTTATTTGGCTGCCATACTGTTCAGCAACACAGCTTAAAAATTCATGAATTGCAGCCACGGGGTGTGTGTGGATGTTTCTGCCTCCTCCCCTCAACCCCAGATTTTTAAATAAGCAAATCAGGTTTAACAAAACTGCATTGGTCTAATTTACTGACTTAAAACCAGGGCAGCCACTTTAAAGAAAGTTTAAAATAATACAACAAAACCCCACCAATGACCAATAACTGCACATTCTCATACTGGGTTCCTCGTACATGCCCTGAGCTAGAAAGCCTTACAGAGAAAGTTACAGGCTCAGATTTGCTGATCATTTCCTTGCCTATTTTTAGTTCAGCATGTATTTAATACCTATGGGGTCACACATTCCCTCCCAGAGTCAAAAGTAATCCTAGTAGAGAAGAGGTTCTTCCAATCCTGCAGACTTTGGGTACATGCCACCTCCAAATGTCTATGGCAATCAAGGTGGCATCTGCTCTTCCCCCTCCCATCTGCTTATACTTTCATTACTGCAGATAAATGCATAAGAAGGCAATGTAAATGTGGTACAACACACTTATTTTCTGGAGATATGAACCTAAACTACTACAACTTAAATTTCTCACTGCTACATAACAAAAAATATACTACACACCCCGATGTTAGTGCAACTGTAAATACAGTAAGGTGGCTTTATACAATTTGAAGTAACCTATTAAATGTCACGAATGTAACTTATTACTGTCACTAATGTGACACTCTGATGTCACTAAGAAGAAAGATCATCTTTCCGACATCCACAGACACTGTCAGGGAAGTAAAATCTAAACAAAACTTCAACAACAAATTAGGTTACAAATCACTGTTGAAATTCCCACCCAAAACTTATTAATTTAAAAGAATTTATAAACTAAAAATGGAAATGCAATGGAAAAGCAGACCTAATAACGGTAATTATTTTTTCCATAGTTTTTGAAATGACTTCTTTTGCTTGCATTTGTTAAAGCACTTCTGTAACAGCTGACAAGAACAAGGTTTTCCTGGTTGTTATTTATAAACAATCAAAGCCCTTCAAACCAGGCACTGCACTCCCTTCAATTAATCAAAACAACCTCTCAGATTTGACTGGAAACACATCAAGCTCCCAGCCCTCCTTCATGTTTGCATTCAATGCAAAGATGCCTGTCTGGTTTAGGTGCTTTTCCCAAAAAGCCCAACAGTTTGGGCAGAAAGTAAGCCAAATGAATTGCAGGGATCAGCCTTCCTGGGCCCCTCTGTTATAAAAGAAGTGAGTAAAAGTGTCCAGCCTCTCTTAAACAAGGACAGCTGATGGCATACAGCTCTAACTTAGCAGGAGAAATATTGTGTGGTAGTGATGCCTGGCTAGCCTGATGACAGGAGCAAGCAGAATATATCCAGGGCACCACGCACTATAGCAAGGCATCCCCTTAACATTCCACTGCAGCTTGGAAACAGGAGCCACACCATGTTTGGTGGGACACAGACTGTAACCTGTATGCCTGTTGCTGGAAATTTAATCTCAGCCGGAGGCTGGCAATGTCCCCAGTGCCATGAAGCAGGGCTCCCAGCGTTCTGCTCACCAGACTCCCAGGAGCACAAAGCACAGCCCTATTACAGCAGGCAGTCACTGACACAGGGTTAAATCACAGCCCCATTTGCTGTTCCGCTGCTTCGGTGCTCTGCCCACTCCCCAGAGGGGCCCTCACACAGCATTAGCCTCCAGGGAGAAAAAGGGGCAAAAACCTCTTTATTACAGAACCACAGGATTGTCAGGGTTGGAAGGGACCTCTAGAGACGCCCTAGTCCACTCCCTGACAAGGCAGGGTCACCTAGAGCAAGTGACACAGGAATATGCTCAGCTGGGTTTTGAATGTCTTCCCAGAGGGAGACTCCATGACCTCCCTGCGCAGCCTGTTCCAGGGCTTTGCCACTCTCAACGTGAAGAATTTCTTCCTCATGTTCAGGTGAAACTTCTTGTGTTCTAGTTTATGGCCGTTACTCCCCATCCTGTACCTGGGTACTACTAAAGAGCCTGGGTCCAATATCTTAGCCCTTGCCTTTAAGACATTTGTATACTTTAAGGAGATCTCCTCCCAGTCTTCTCTTCTCTGGACAAAACTGGCCCAGTACTGGCCCAGTCTCTGCTCATAAGAGAGATGCTTCAGTCCCTTTAATCATCTTCGTGGCCTTGTGCTGGACCGTCTCCAGCAGCTCCTCGTCCTTCCTGTACTGAGGAGCCCAGAACACGACACAGCACTCCACATGTGGCCTCGCTAGGGCCGAGTAGAGTGGGAAGATCACATACTTCTTCTTTACAAAAAAAGGGAGGGGGGGAACAAACAAAAACCATACAAACAAACAAACAAAAAACCCAACTATAACGAAAAGCCTCCCCGTCTCAGTTCTGCCAAGGGCAACCCCGCCCTCCCCATCGCACATGCGCGGCCATGGCCGCGGGCGGCGGGGGCAGCGCGGCGGGGCGGCCCTGGGCCCCCCCCCCGGGCCCTTCCCTCGGCCCCGCCGCTCCCCGGCAGCGTCCGGACGGGCCGAGGGGCGGAGAGCGGCCATCGGAGCCGGCCGCCCCACACCCGGCCTCGGCAATGGCCGCCGAGGGCCCCCGCGCGTCTCCCGCCCGGCACTGACCGAGATAGAGCACTACGGGGATGAAGCCCCAGCGGATGGCGAACTGGCCGCCCTTGAAGAGCTGCTGTAGCCGCTGCTTGGCCTCCTTGCTAAGCTTCGGCATCCCGGCGGCGGGGCAGAGAGGAGGAGGAGGAAGAGGAGGAGAAGGAGGAGGAGCGCAGCCGCCCTCGTAACAGCGCCGTGCGCTGGGCGGGACCCATCGCTCGGCTGCGGGGCGGGGAGCGGGGCCGGACCTCGGGCGGCCGAGGAAATGGCGGCGCCGGGGTGCCCTGCGTCCGCCGGGTGTGCTCCGTCCCTCGGGTGGCCTCTGCCCGCCAGGTGTTCTGTGCCCCCTGCGTGTTCTCTGCCCCCTGCGTGTTCTCTGCCTGCTGCAATCCCGACGGGCTTGTCCCGGCCACCGTCCAGCGCCGCAGGCTGAGGAATCGCCCCCGCGATCGGGATGGGCCCAGTGGGGCTGGCGGCTGTGAGGGGGCGCGGGGGCTGCGAACGCTGTGGGTTTCCCTGCCCGCCTTGGCTCCTGAACTGCCGCACTCCTGTGCTTGTTCTTCCCGGAGCTCTCGAGGTGTTGCTCACACGCCGCCTCTGCAGGGTAGGAAGTGCCTTTGGTAAGTGAAGGGTAGAGATGGAGTGATAAGGAAAAGTGTTCCTGGAGGAAACTGGAAATGCGGCTCCATGACGCTGTGTCAAGGGAGGTTTAGGCTTGATATTAAATGGAAAATAATATGAAAAAATTATTCACCCAGGGGGTGGTTGGGCGCTGGAACAGGTTCCCCAGGGAGGTGGTCACAGCACCAACATGACAGAGCTCAAGAAGTGTTTGGGCAATGCTCTCAGGCACATGGTGTGACTCTTGGCATGTGCTGTACAGGGCCAGGAGATGGCCCTTGTGGGTCCTTTCCAGCTCAGAATACCAGGCTGTGTGATGTATCCAGTCTGTGGAAACAAGGAGTTGAGGGAGTGAAACTGGTAGTACAGCACTTGGATTTTGTTGTCCTTAAAAACCTCAGAGCCCAGATAAGCACTGAGGCATTTTGTTTTTTGACTAATAAATGAGTGGCCTTTGTCCTTGCAGTGCCCTAACCACCAAGCTGCTCTTTATTTGACACAACTTACATGACATCTTGCGTGTAGTGTCTATGCCTTTGAATCAATCATTTATATCATGTTTTTACCATGTTTTCATTCTTTCTCAGGTAGCCTCCTGCCTTTTGCTGTAATGCCAGATCCAAGCCAGATGCAGGTCTTTAGGTTCTGCTATTACTAATGCAGCTGCAGCAGTTAACACCATCAGGCTGTATCATGTCTGCTACCTATAGCAAAGCTCTGCATGTTATATATTGGTTTGCCTACAGCACTTGAACTTCTGTAGCCACCTTGTCACGTTAAGAAAAACAGCAAGTCAGTGCTTTTTAGAGACAAGAAAGAATCCAGGGTTATAATAAATCTTACTTATTCAGATATACCATTTACTCTTCCAGTGTATGCATGCCTGTCCAGTGTATGAATCCCTGTTCTGCCATTTCAAGATGATAAAAACAGGAGCTTTTAGCTCACTACTTCCTCTCCAGGTACAGGCAGGTAGCAAGCTGCAGGCAACATGAGAGGTTCTGGCAGCTCATGGCTTGCTTTTGCCATGGTCTGTGAATTATGAAAGAATATTTTGGTGAGGTCCTGGCACAGATGTGCAGTCATGTTACAGGATGCACATGCCTTTCCTGCTCTACACCAGTCCCAGTGCCCTGTGCTTCCATACACATTAAACATGGGATACACCACTATTTCTAGTCATAGGACTGACACACATTTAATGATACCTGACAAATAAAGTAGAGGCATAGAGTTACTGAGTGTCTCCTTTATACTGAATAGCTTATCCCTATGGAGAGGTTAGGCACCAGTGGTGTCTATGTATTCATGAACATCAATATGAAGTTAACAAGACTTAGCGTACGCCTTTCCCAAAAGAGTATGCCTTTGGGGGGGGAAATTCTGGGAATTCTATCTGAAAATTGAGAGAACAAGTCTTTCTATCCCTAGGTTTGTGTTGGATTTCAAATTTTTTTCGTATATCACTTGTCAAACGTTTCAGATTAGAACGCGTAAGTAGAATTGTACCAACATTCAAAATTACAAATTTACTCTTCTTGTGAGCCAGTGTAGTGCAAGAGGCACATTCATTAATCAGTAATGGATTATTACACTCAAAAGAGAACTCAACCCATTGAACCTCTTTTTTTGACTTACAGGAACCTGTTTTTGAGTAGTTTGTATTAAATTGGTTTTCCTTTGTAGATGAGGCCGAGTAAGATCTGTTTTCAAGCTGTGGTTACTGTTACAGCTTGTTCTTTCTAAACATACAAAACCAACTGTTCATTATAGCACACAGCTTGTTAATAATCTCTTACAAAGTATGGCAATAAAATATGACCCACGGTGGTGGAATGAAATCCAAAAGGTATTTTTCCTTCCTGTAAATTTGGTGCAAGTGGGATTTAGAAGGTCGAATGTACAGATCACCTGATAGGAAGAGTTGAACAATTTCTGTGTCTTCTTTGAGAATTGGTTTAACAGTATCACATGTGATACAGTGTTTATAATGTTATTGTGGGTGTTCTTGAGAAAGAGTGCTAACCAAAGAGTGCCACATGTACCAGATCTTCCCTTCTTCCCTTTACATATTGAGTCAAGGAGTAATTTTCAGAGCACAGAAACATGTTAGCCTTTATTTCTCATGTCTGTTAATATGAATGTTTGACTAAAAGCTTGCAGGTTATTTCATTAATTTAACTACAGAAGCCAGGATATTAATAGTAAGAAAGTTAGTATTACTTTGCCAGTTTTCTCACAAACAAAATCAGTGCTAGAAGAGCACAAGGGCGTGTGTTGGTATGCAGATAAACCAGTGTTGATTCTGTATAGTTACTGCTCAAGATCTACATAATCTTGCATACTGAAGCTGTGAAAGGATGTCTGTAAACTAAGAATTGTGACTGGAGAAGAGCACTTGTTTCATCATAACACATATTCATAGTCTCCAACTGTCCAACATATCATATTTGCATTAAAAGACCTTATCTAGCCAGCCAACCAACCAACAAACCCACACAACCTCCGCAAGAACAACAAAAACCAATAAATGGTTGTGCTGACTCCAGAAGTTTTCCATGCCTTTCTTTGGCTCCTGTGTCACCTGGGATGTTAGAGGGTCTAAGAGCTCAGCAGTCCTTTGGTGATCTGCTGACTCAGACAAAGGGGGAAGGAGAGCAGCAGTCATCCTCCCTGCAAGTTCATGGGACAGCACTAGTCACATAAATATTGGCAATTAGCCTCTAAAAGCAAATGTGCCTGTGATGGGGCATGAAACAATGAGCTGTTTTGAAGTGAGAAAACCTTACACACAGATGGGTATTGTAAGATGGAGTTGACTCTGCCTGGAGAAGATGGAAGTAGGATTTATGGGTGTGCTGTGAGTTTGTAAGTTATTGTGGTAATACTTCTATGAAGGATTTTGATTTTATTTGATTTTTTTTTTCTTGTGGCTGATAATGAAGACAAAGCTGCTTGGAATGCTGTATTCATTAACTAAGGAGAACAAGAGCCCCAATTGCTAGAGTGACAAAAGAAAATTAGTGATACCATAGATGTTGAAAGTCTTTTGTTGCAAAGAAAGAAATAAATCTCTTTGGATTTCTTCTGCCTTGTACCTTCATGTGATCAGCAATAGCAATAAAGTCAGAAACAAAATTGCAGAGGTTTCAACTGGGACAACAAGAATATGAATCCCTATTGTTTTATTGACTCGATTAGCAATAATTCCACAAATGTTTTCACAGCAAATAAATATCACTAGTACTCATGGTAAAATGGCCAAATGTTTCCATTTTTATCGGTAAATGAGGGAATTGAGATTCTTACAGACATGATTGAATTGCTGAAGTGTCAGATTCAAGAAGTAATGTCTCTTGATCAGATGGTTTTAACTCATCTTTTTGAGTGCAAAATGTACCTTTCAGGTTAAAGAATTCCAGACGTCTAAAAGATTTATCTCAGCAAACCACAAAGTAAAGCCATGCAACAGTACATGTAACTCAGATGCTGATGAAGGAGACAAAGTGCAGTGACACATTGACGTTTGTGAAAAATCACTGTAAACTTGGTAGAAAATCCCTGCAGGCCTCCGTTGTGCAGTCTGCAATCTCACTTTTGAGATTTTCCCAATTTACTGACAAAAAGCTGCATTAAATTCATCTACTTGGGAACAAAGTTTGAGTTTTACCCTATTTAGGAGGAACATAGATTTCAAAGACGCTATGGTGGATGTTTCTTACTTCAGGATTATACCATAAATCAGTATAAATAGCACAAGAACATAAGGAAGAGCTCTTCAACAGATTTCCACTTCAGGCTGAATCTTTATGATGTCAGTAAAAACAGTAGTTTATTATGACTAGACATTCTATTTCACTTCATTGTTACGACTAAGCTTCCTATTTTTATTGTGCCCTAATAATTATGTTCCTTCTATTCCATTTTAGTATTCCTATTCATTTAGTCTAATAAATCCCTGCTTCTCTGCAGTACCACTGATCTGGGAAATATTCCTTTTCATTTCACAAAGACAAGAAAGGACAGAGACAAAGGGAAATGGAAAGTACTGTGGTCAAAAGAGCAAAGGCTTAGGCTGTCCAATTAGGTCATGTGCAAAGTAACCAGAATTCTAAACTGTCTTCTGAATGTTATTGAGACCTAGATTAGTTTGGGGTGAGTATATTTGAGTTCTTAATTTGGCATAGTTTCCAAACACGCTTGAAATGCAGAGCTGTAATGCATATAAAAAATTTCTGTCCAAATTAAAATCTTCATACGAATTTCTGTATGATACTTGTTGGATTTACTGTGGTCACTGCCTTATATGGAATATTTCCAAGAAAAGTGATATTGCCAGTCACTGTGTGGGTTTCAGCTGGGGTGGAGTTAATTTTCTTCATGGTGGCTGGTATGGGGCTGTATTTTATACTTGTGTTGAACACAGGGTTGATAATATAGAGAAGTTTTGGTACTGCTGAGCAGGGCTTACGCAGAGGCCTTTTGTCCTGCCATGCTGGTGAGGCTGGGGGTGCATGAGAGGCTGAGGGGAGACACAGGCAGGACCGGTGACCCCAGCTGACCAAAGGGGTATTCCAGACCATGGGATATGCTCTGTATATAAAGTGGGGGGAAGAAGGAGGAAGGGGAGACATTTGGGGTAATGGTGTTTGTCTTCCCAAGTAACTGTTAGATGTGATGGGGCCCTGCTCTCCTGGGGATGGCTGAACTCCTGCCTGCCCATGGGCAGCAGTGAATTAATTCCTTGTTTTGCTTTGCTTGTGGGCACAGCTTTTGCTTTCCCGGTTAAATTGTCTTTATCTCAACTCATGAGTTTTCTGGCTTTCACTTTTTTGATTTTCTCTCTGGTCCCAGTGTTTGTGAGGCGTAGTGAGCAGGTGGCTGTGTGGGGCTTGGCTGCTGGCTGAAAATTGCGGACAATTAGCAGAATGATCAGAGTGGCAGGAACAAACAGCAAAGTGTAGTAATTTTGTATATTAAATACAGTAATTGTACAATTTATTCACTTTAAAACAAACCAAAACTGAGTGGTGACATGGAGTTACAATCTCATTGTTTTTCATTACAGCTCCTGAGGCCAGGGAAGGAGAAACAGCAGTCTGAGGTGAGACAGCATTGAAAGAACCTCATCAAAAGCTTTTAGAGACCTCTGAGAACTGTTTATGTGCTTAAAAATTGAATATTAATGTTACCTGCTTCACAACTGTAGCATTCTTTGAATCATGCCTTTCCCATTCTGCACTTTGTCTTTGCTTAATACTGAAAATTAAATGTTACACTTAGACATGCTGCTGCCTTTTGCCATAGATCATTTTTCTAAAAGTGCAACAGTTCTTCAATGCATGTTTTTATATTGCAATATTTGGCCAAGGATGAAAACAATAATCTGATTCCTTATATACATTTGGTGATACGCAAAAATCTGATGGATAAAAGGATTTTCTGAGGCCAAAACTAATACCCATATTTTCTAAAATTGTTTTTTCATTAAGCTTTTTTTTAAGCAGCTGAGTAGCAAAGGTTTTGGTAACTCTAGGAGGATTTTCCTCTAAAGATATTTTATTAATGTAAACTTTTTCTTTGTAGACAGATCTCAAATAGATTTTTGTTGTGTAAGAATATGTTGTTTTAACAGCACATATATATAAATATTTTAAAGGACTTAAAATATGCTTATTTTAGGCAAATTTTTGCCTAAATGTTTTAAACAAGGTGAGGAAAACAAATAATATATTCTGATTTTCCAAAATCTTTGCTTGTATACTTGGCCTTTATACCAATTCCAACCTTAGTAAATTGTAAAGTGGTGGGACAACCATGAAACTGATAACATAAGTCTTTGCAGAGAAAAATGAAATGTTTCTCTCTGATACAGGACATAGAATTGCAGGATTTGAAAAATAATAATTCTAACAATAAGTCGTATTCTGCTTTCTCTCTTCAATGTTAATAGTCTTTCTTAGCATCCAACTACAAAAAGGTGCTGCTGAAACAACTTTTTCTGACAGTGAAATATTTTAAAATGTAACTGATTGATGCACAGCACTCGCTTCACTGATTTACAATAGAGCTTTCATATGCATGCTCAGATTTTGCAAGCTAAAGGTATACAACAAGCTACAGTTAACTCTGGTTATAAGCTAAGAGAAAACATGTAGTAAAGCAAAAAGAGGAACTCTGAGTTGAAATATGCCTGGTAAACCTGAAACAGGTTGGTGTGGTTTTTTTGCCAGTTTGTTGTGGGTTTTGTCTTAAGTCCCAGTAAAACAAATGACATGTAATTTCAGTTACTGTATATATCCTTAAGTATATTTTTTTTGTTGTAACTTCCAAAACAAGAAGGGTGTTTGTTGAAACTAAGATTTTTTTTAAAAGTATAAATTAAAGTTTAATTCAGTACAGCTTTAATTTCAATAGAATTAAAAGCATAGCACAATCTAGGTTTTAGTGCTGTCATTATTATAGTTTTAACAACCTGTAATGCAAATTACAGAGTCCATATCATAAAAGGAAAGGTAAAAATATGTGTGTTTTCAGATCTTGAATAAGACTGCCCAGTCAACAAAGGAAATGTGTCATGTACATGAACAAATGGAATAATTTGTAGTAAATGTAAAAGTTGAACTAATTATTTAAACTGAACATAGGTATTAATTTGTCTTCATTGTTTACTTTAGGTGAATTGACTTCAGAAACTTAAGGACAAACCTGTTGTCATATTCCTAATTCAGCAGGGCCTAACCATGACCAGCAAGGTGAGGAGCAGTTCACACACCCCCTGGCAGAGCCCCATCAGCGTGTGCTGCATGAGCTTCCTGCTGAGGGTGAACCTCAGCAAGAGCTCCCCTTCAGAATTTGGAAATTCAACAGTGCAGATGAAAGTATCAACGTTTATGTCTGTCTTTAGTTTTTGCATTTCAGTAGTTCAGATTTCACTGCAAATTCTTTGAGATCATCAGCACATGGAAGATTAGAATCAGTATTTTAGTATCATAATGAAGAGTAATTAAGGCCTTTCCTAGATACCAGAAGGCAATCTACCAGAAGGAAAGCTCTTTTCTTTCTTTCCAAGTCTCATCTGGTGCTATCAAGATTAAATGAAGCGCAACTCATGGTTAATGAAGTTTTTACTCTTCTACTAAAATAAAATTTAGTCTCTTAAAATACTTCCCTTTTGCCTTTCATACACAATTTCTGTCCATACTTTGTCTATTTTAGTGGAGTCATATGCCATATTTAGCCCAGACAAACGTTTTTAGAGTTTATTAATTTCAAAACATTGTCAAGTAGACACACTAGTATGTTTTCTCTATATACTGTCAGCCTGATTCACGTGCCTGTAAGTTCATCTAACACTCTTTCCACTGTTGCACAGAAAACAAATGACCTTTCAGGGAAATACCTATCAATGTTTCAATCACTGCTGCTGCTTTTCAGTTAGTATTATTAAAAATCTCAAACTTTATTCTCTTAGAAGTGCAGAACAGCTGCATTTTAGTCATTTTAGATGCTGGAGTTCAGTTGAAGAGGGTGATGTGTAGCAGTAGGCACTACAGTGATTAATGAGATTTCGGTAGCTTTTCCATAGCTTCCTGCCTAGAGCAAAAAACAAAACAAAACAGAAAATCAACAAACAAACAAAAAAACCAACCCCAAACCCATAACGGCAGATTAGTTGTGTGCCTTTCACTGCTTCTTGTAAAATGTTAATGGACTCCTAAAGGTTGCATTTTTGAATGAGAACCATTTCAGCAAGAATTTTAGCAGATGCAGAGGACATACAAGGAACTTTTGAAAATTCCTTATGTTCTACTTTATAAAGTCTATTAGGCACATTTGGCACAAGCTGGGAATCTGACACTGATTTCCAAGCATTTAAACGGTCCAAATAAAATGCCATTTCTGTAATACTTTTATATTTTCCTTTTTTTCAAGTGTATATAAAGTACACATCTGAATAAACAATATTGTACTCCTTTATTTTAGATGTAGGTAGCAGTCACAAGAGATTAAATGCTGCTATGTGTAACGAAGCATGAAGATGACAAGATATATGAACCAGAGGCTTTTCAGCTCAATCACATCATCCAGCACATAATTATACAGATTTTGTATTTCAGACAGCAATGTCACCTTAGGGTTGAAATCATTCTAGATGAATCGGTGTAAGTATAAATAAGATAGTTCCCCACACCCCAGTTACTTTCCTACTTTAAAAATAGAAAGGAAAATGAGTCGTCCTGAGTTTAAGGATGAGTTATTTGTGTGTGGTATTTGTGATGGAAAATTCTTTCTAAAATAAACACAGTAATAATTAATGGTCTTCTTTTTTCCTCTCATATTTTAAGGCAACAGCCTGCTTCTAGTGCCAGAGTACTAGACTAGATATATCCTGGTCTCTTTTAGTACTTGACTAATACATACAGCACTATCTATTAGAGTCATTAGTTGTATCAAGCAAAATATTTTTCTGTAGTTTTTCTATTAAATTTCTTTAAAGCCACATGCAGAATGTTACCTCCCATGCTGTACTTTAGTTCCAGCGACTCTAATATGGATGATACCCTGATGGGCTTTTGAAATCCTGAAAAACATGAATGTGACAGGGAGCCTAGATGGGACTTTAAAAAATACTACAAATCATTTAACTACTATGACAAAATTTTTATAAATGCTGAATAAAGGTGAAAATTAATAAATGTATCAGCCTCTATTAATTTAGTTCCTTCTCTTCATTACAGAAAGATGCTATTGATCCAAAATTTATTAGCAGTGTTCTGCTAGAGCCAGCGGAGGGCAGACTTGAACTGGAAACTCTTTTTGCTACTGTAGTTACTTGAAGTTAAAATACCAGATATATCATGTCTTGAGCTCAAAGTCTCATCACTTCTCTACTATTCTAATTACACTTGTGCTGGATAAAAGCCTCTTTGCAATTGCTGTTTGACAAAATGAGTGTTTTGCAAATGTTTAAATAAAGATGCTAATATGAAAGTGAATAAGTCAGTGTGTTAGCAGCTGTGTGTTACTCATCAGGGATAATCCACACTGCTTAATCCTTAACCATGTATATCTTGAAATGTTTGTTAAAAGCTAGTGAATATAATTATCTCCATTTTACAGATGAAGAAACTGAGGAATAGAGTGGTAACCTTGCAGATTACCCATCTGGGTGACCTACAGAAACAAGAATGAAGTCCAGTTTTTTGAGATCTAATCCAGTGCTTTGCAACATAAACTATTTTAACTCTTGCAAACATTATGGAAATTTTTGCTAGCAGCCCAAATTGTGGATCTTTCACTGAGGAGCTTACACTGATGAAATAGCAGGCAACCTGACAGTGAGGTTGTAGATCTTAAGAAGAATATTCTTCCCAAGAAGATGGGTGGCAGTCAGATCAAAGGCCTAAAGATCCACTTTAAAGTAGCATTTTATTATTAAAACAAGTACTTCACATTTTTAGGCATATTTGTTATTCATTAGGTTAGGTTGGAGTCTTTCTGAAAGCCTTTATGATAGTCTGTGTCTGACTCTTGTTGTGTATAATGTGTTGTGGCTTCACACATTTTTAAGTGCTGTGTGAAGGTCTGTAAGAATATATTATAAAACAGGCCACTTGAAGCTTCTTGGTCATTTCTCCTTGTACCTTGTGCAATTGTACCTCATGCAATTGTACCTCACAAAGAGTTGTCACCTCCAAATTGTCATCACTTTCCATAACTCACAGAGGCCTGAAAATGCAATTATCTCAAAGGGGAAAAGATTCATTTACTCTTCTGCAGAACATAAACTCTCCTTGAAATAACCACTAATTGAAGGCATTTGTACACAGGCTCATTTTATAGTAAACCACTGGATGCCTCAGGTCAAGAAGCAGCAAGAAAGATAACAATTCAATTAATGAAAACTGCTGCTTTGAGAAATGTGGTTTCCAGTCTCAAAGTTATTTTATTTATCCCTAATTATACATTGCTGAAAACTGTTAACCATTATTAGGGGCAGATAAGTCTGAGGTTTGGGGATATGGCCTGGCTTTGCCTGTTGTAAGCTTCACAGGTTTACACATCCACCTCCATAACAATCTTTCCTTTCACTAATCCTGGTGGGTGTGCATTTTTTTTGTACCAAACTTTCCCTTTTATTTGTAAATATGTGTGAAATGTTCAAAACATTAGTGATTTAAGAGCAGTTAAGGTATTACTTCCTCAGAAACACATCATTGTTACATACAGTTGTGTTTGTTGTGCTGAGCAGGCCCAGCTGAGTTACAGATAAGGCAAAATAACTGTATTAGAGCAGGTTGGCCAAAGGCTTGTCCCTGTATTTCTTTACATGGAAAATAAAGGATAGATGTATGTACTGTCTGAATAGAGAGCATGATGATGTTGTGTGCCTGTGCCAAAATTAATACAATAGTATTTTATTGGAAAAATAAACTTAGTTCTGGATTTAAAAAATTGTAATATGCCATGTATAAAATACATATTTGATCAAGATCAGTTCTGGTAATGTTCCTTCAGAGGTGAGGGTTTATAATGACTAGGAAAAGATACTTCTACATCTATGGAAGTTTAAGCCTGCTGCTGTCAAGTGGCCAGGACCCTTAAATGTGTGTTGAAGTGTCCTACTCTTAGTAAATCAGAAATGTTTATACTTGCTGTCTCAAGTAGTAGAAAGAACACTAGCAACTTCTTCCATGTTTAGAATTCTGTGGAGTCTGCTACCTGTGAGCAGACTCCACTTAAATAAAGTCTCTGGAACTACTAATTGCTAACCTCATTCTTGACATAGTTCAGCCTCCAACAGCCTGCTGCAACTTCTGTTACACCTTCTGGGAGTCTATCTATAGCAATTGCTTTCTCTGCCCAGTTGGCTCCAAGCCAGAAATATATCCATTTGCACAAATGCTTCTTAACCTTGTTCACACTGGGGTGGGGGGGAAAGGGGGGAGTCATATTTTTTCTTTCTGCTTGTGTGGTTGGTGGATACTTTTGTAGTAAATTCAGTACTTGCCATGTTCACTGTGTAATGCACAAGTGGTTACAGTGCCTTTTCTAAGGTACTCTTTGTTTCACTTTAAGTGCACTGAATAAAACTATTTCTCCATGGCCATTTCATGGGCATCTTACTGTAACATGGGAGTCTTAAGCAAGTACATTTAATCACTTTTCTGATAAGGCTGTGTTCTTCCCTCTCAGTAGGGCATTCTCAGTTGACAGAGAAAGCCTTCAAGACTTGCAGATTAACCAGCACTTCTGAAGGCTGAAGAAAACACTAACATTTCTGACCAGCTACCTGGCGAGTTCCAGTGTCCCTGTCATGAAGAAATAGGTTTATAACTGATAGGGAAGATTGTGCTTACCACAGGAATGCTACTGGTACCCAAACTAGCTTGTCTTCATTCTCAAAAACCTGCAGCTCACACACATACATGTACAGCATCCAGCTCTGGAGTCCTCCATGCGGGAAGGACACACATCTGTTAGAGCAAGTCCAGAGGAGGCACCAAGAAAATTAGAGGGATAGAACACATCTTTTCCAAGGAAAGGTTGAGAGAATTGGGATTGTTCAGCCTAGAGAAGAGAAGGCTTCAGGGTGGCCTAATTGTGGCCTTTCAGCTCCTGAAGGGAGTCTGTAGTGACAGGACAAGGGGTAATAGATTCAAACTGACAGAGGAGGCTTACATTAGATATTAGGAAAAAATTCTTTATTGTGAGGATGGTGAGGCACTGGAACAGTGTGCCCAGAGAAGTTGTGGATGCCCCATCCCTGGAAGTGTTTAAGACCAGGTTGGGTGGGGTTCTGAGCAACCTGGTCTAGTGAAAGGTGTCTGCCCATGGCAGGGGGCTTGGAACAAGATGGGCTTTAAGGTCCCTTCCTACCCAGGCAATTCTATGATTCTATGTACCTGTGTATAGACACTTCTGCATTATATGTATGTAAATGTTTATACATTTACAGAATTGCAGGTTTATCAGAATCAATTGAAAATGAGCCAGCTTGGATATCAATTCCAGCACCATTTCTGAGGATATATGTATAGACATGTATAGCAAACTCAAACTGCAGCTTTGAAGTCCTCAGTGTTTCAGCTACCTAGAAGTACCAATGCAAATATTTGACATTAGAAAATTAGGAGCACTTTGATTGGAGTAATTAGGTTGATATATAGGAGTTCTGTGGTACGGGCAGGAACAGATGGTCCTGATCTTTCTGACTCAAATTCCCACCAAGATTTTTTTTTAATGTTTTCATGCATTTCTGTACAGTTGTGGTGAATGCTGTACCAGAGTCCAGTCCAAGCTCTGAGAAAGACAAAAAGGCTGTGGTTACAAAAATAGTCACAGACCACAGCTCTGTGTTTGCATGCTAGATCATGAACAAGGATTCTGCATTAAGATGTACATAGGACAGTGTGTGGCATCTCTCACTTTCTTCTGTGGCATCTTAACCACATTTCACTTCCATTTTTATTAGATCTCAATGTTAGGGGGAAAAAATGCAAGTTCTAGCTTGTGCAAAATTTTATTTATTTCCAGCTCTAATAAATCCAGCCTTGCAACTTCCAGTCCTCTCAGGTGTCCAAACACCTGTCCCATTCCTCTGCATTAGAACTCGTAGGGTAAACTGCTGGACCAGTAAAGTTCTGTTCTCTCTAAGGTACTGCATCATGCATTTGCAATTTTGTTCTCCTCTTAATGCAGCTGGAGTTTCAGACTATCCCATTTAACTGCATATGTGTCACAAGTCACTGACATCAGAAACACATTTTAGCCTTCATGTCACAAATTAATTGAGTTGCAGAAAGAAGAATAAGGTTATTAAAAGAACAGGTTTTAAGATTCTACTTTCAAATAATAGTGAGTAGCTAAAAAACCCTAAAGCCAGGAGCATGCAAGCTCCTACTGGTCAGTTTTCAGTTGATCAGCTTTTAATAGCTACCTGCAAAAGACTAATTAGTGACTTCAGTGTGCTATCCTACATTTCAAAGTGTCTAATTGCTGTCATGTAGCTGCACACCTAACACTGCTAACTCGACTTCATACCCAGCACTGGTCAGCACTAGCAAACCTCAGCTTCAAGGTTAAGGTAGAGTCAGCATTTTGCCTCCTGTCAGCAACAATCTATAACTTCCATTGCTGGGAACAAGCAAAAAGATATTAAACCAGGAATGGTTTGGTTTTCTCCTACTAACAGTAAATTTAGAGCAGTAACTTCATGACATCAGTGGGTGCAGTCTGTTCAAATCTTCCACCGCGTCATGGGAAATATAGACTATCAATTTTCCATTCCTATTTTGGCAAGCGTAATTTTGTTATTTTAAAAGTTGTTGATATTGGCCACCTCAGTGTTTTCATTATTTCACACATATTTTGGCATTTCAAGAAGTCTCTGCTTCAGTAGATATAGGGGATAGAGTGTGTGTGTCCCAAAATTTAGAGTTTCTTTCACCAAGTACGATATATTACATTTACAAGCTTCATTTACACTTCAACAGAGCATTCATCTGTGTGCTGTCAAAGGCTAGGGGGGGCATTAAATTAGATATTTTAGAGAGATTATGAATTCTAATAAAAGGGCTGTCTACAGTTGGAGTGATCTGTAACAGCAAAGCAAAGGAAGATGGGAGTTAAGAATGAATGAAAAGGCCTGAAAGCAGCAGCAGAACAGAGGGTTAAAAGGATGGACACTTGTTGACACAGAAAACTATGCCCAGCAGAAAAGTTAAGGAATTGCTCTGTTTATGTCAAGGTCAAGGACCTGCATTTGAAAACAGCCACAACACAGATGATCTGTCAGCAAAATCCCAGGATCCTGATCCCAGGAGGATGGTACCAAGGCTGCAGTGTCAGACACCCCTTGCCTTTCCTGTTATCCTGCCTGGAAAACACGTGTTGAAAACAGAGAAAAACAGGCAATGGGCAGCATCCTGGCCTATCATTTGTGCAGAACAAAGTAAACAGGATTCTGAGGTAAAAGGTATCAGCTGATGCCTCCTAAGGGAAATGACAGATCTGTCCAGAAATCACTTTGTTGTCCCTAGTCAAGGCCTTGTAGTGAGGGCATGGCAGCAGCACCCCCATTCCTTTGTGTCAAGCTCCAGGGATCCTGGCCAGGCCACTGGGACTCTCTGAGTGGGGGATCAAGAATATTCGAGTGTCAGAGTGTCAGAGAATTAACTCTACAGCAGAACGAGTGTGAGTGCCTACAATCAACTTGCTTAAAGATTTGCAAATAAATACCTTTCATAAGATCTCACACTGAACTTACAGTAATTCCTGTGTTACAGCAATTTCCCACTGTTACATAAATGAAGTCATGCTTGCTGAGGACCATATCACAATTCCCCAACAGACAGAGGGACAGAGATGCTCATGACTTGCTCTAATTCTTGCATTCCTTCCTGATGTGGCATAGTTACAAATTCTGTGGCAATTTCTCTACAACTACATAGATTATAATTTCCTCTTAGAGCTTTTCCAGAAGGTTGGTTTGTCCAACACAGATGGATTTTGTACAGCATTTCAATGACATGGAATTTAAGCTTCTTTGTGGGAACCTATGCACTACTGGAGTAAAAAAATCATTGAATCATAGCTGAGTAGTTATTGATAAAAAACAAATTACTCCACAGAAAGCTACATGAAAAACACAGGCTTGGAAAGAAAATGAAGGAGGAAGGCTGAAAAAGTGTGCTGTAACACCTGAAACAATAAAAATGAGGAAATAATGTGTTGGCCTCATACAAGGACAATATGGACTGAGCCAGAGTCATAGTATTACTCAAAGCTGGTAGGACATGTGAATAATGCCTTCCAACACCCCACACTACTCTGGATCTGTAGTGCCAGAAAAAGAGACTGCTAGAAGGACTCAGTTACAACAAGGCTGGGCTGTAGCATGCAGAAAGGGAGATTAGTATTTGTTTTCTTTCACAAGCTTTGATAGGATTCACATATCTATCAACTTCTGTAAACAATGAGATTAGGGCAGCAGACTGCATGGCCCTTTGCAGCTCCCAGTAAAAACCTCATGGAGAAATAAATATCTTTGGCCATAGTAACACTATAGTAACTCACCATAGTAACACTAAAATAAGCTACAATATGTGTGTCCATTTACCTTGTCAGCCAGTTGTCAGTGAGTCTCAAAGTCCTTGTGTTAAGTACTGCAAAAGTCTTTTCCCAGAGAACTAATCAGATGTTACCTGGGAACTGGCTGGTTTTGATCTTAGACGTGTATCATGTTTGTTCTGACTCAATTATATATTTATTGTTGCAAATTTCTTTTGCAGAAAGTAGAAAATGTACTGGTAGCTCATCAGCCAGTTGGCCCCTGCTGTAACCTTGAGCTGATCCTTCTAAATGTACTGAGAATGTTCCAGCTGCTAATTTAGCAAGGACTGGTGACATGCTCAGGGCTGCATGAAAGAGCTGCTCCCTCACAGCAGCTGGAGGGAAAGAGGACAGGTGCTGTGAGGAACTGATGCTACTTAGAGATCAATGCCTGGCAATGCTAACCTGTAAGTGTGAAATCTTTGAGATACTAAGTTTGTGTCCAAACAATGTGTCCAAATGTTTTATCATTATTGACATCACAGACAGGATTTTCTACCCAAGTAAAATGCCTTAAATCCAGCAGTCTCATAACTATCCTGTCTGGAGTGCTTCTAGATCTATAGAGCCCAAGAGCAGAAATTCTCTCTGTATTTCTTCTCTTACAATCCATCCTAGAAGCTTGCCAAGCTTCTGCCTTCATCCATATTT